CAGTTTTTTATGCAGAAATGGACTAATTTCTTTTCAAGTTACAGTGATGAAGGATTAATGAACTAGATTACGATAATTTTGAAGAAACGGCTACAACAGTATAATGGAGAATAAATGCACTAATTAACAGTAATTTGAATGAAAAGCCATAGCGTGGCGCTGTTAATAGGTTTTGAAAACTTTCCAGAAGAATGAGCACGAATGAGTTCCAGAGGCAAATCATTCCAGACGTTAACTATTCGTGCACTAAACAAACCTTACAAGTTCAAAAAGAATAGCATCAAGCCATGTTTCAGAAGGAATAGCACTAAGCTATATTCCAGAAAGAATAGCATTAAGCAGTTTTCCGGTTTTTGTGACGTCAGTACTCAAAAATGAGCTAGCTCTATCTGAAGAAAATTCGTCACTTTGTCATCGTCGTTGTCGTTATTGTTACTGTCATAGTTGTTAATGCTGAGCTGCTCGTCAACGACAGTCCTCCTGTTTGTAAAATCTCTGGAAGATTTTTGTTGCTTTCCCTGGATGTGATCATTCCACTGCTGTATGTGTAGGTGTGCATGGGTTGTCTGTACAGGAAAATCTGTTTGCTGAAGCACCACCAGCAATCGAGAGATGTATGTATTTGTGGAGGTAAGCTTATCGAATTGCTCCGGACCGTTCGTTCGTTCGCTCGTTCGTTACTTTTGCACATACTTGAACTGGTGGAATGTATATTTGCACGTGTCACTTGTATTTCTTGATAAAAAAATAACTAGCCGGGCACTTGGCTAGCTGGATTGTCTGCTATTACTCTGCTGCTGTTGCTGTTGCTTCTACGGATTCTCAGTACACCTCTTCAGCTACTTCTTCCCCGTTTTCTCTAGATGCACTTTATCTTACTGCAATAGTCAAACCTCGTTTTATCGCTTCCAATTCGGAAGCCTTTGCCCCAAAAGCAGGTGCCATATTATCACACTTCTGTAATTTCGCTTGTTGCTGTACCGGGCTTCATACCACATCAAACAAGTAAAACGCCCACGTAGTTATTATAATATTGGTGGTAATTCTGTTATTAATATTCATGATGAAAATGTTGATGATATTAACGACGATGATATTAACGACGATACTGACAACAACGATAATGATGACGATGAAGATACTGGTGAGGATGTGATGTGACGAGTCTGTTTCTACAATTGTTCACGCTGTGTCAACAATGAAAGTTGTCATGGGCAAGACTGTAGGATCAAGACCTGTCTCTGTTAATTTCTCTCCGAATTCAATGAATTTTGATACGAATCGTAAATTTGCGGCTTTCTGTTATTGTCGCTATATTAGTATCTATCTCTAAATGTTAGAGGGAATGCAGATGTTGAGTCGGGATATTATTGCTCAGTGCCTGATTATTTTTCTGGAAATTCCAGTATCCTGCAAAACTTGCTGGGCTTTTCTTCCAAGGTTCAAAAATCGTCTGTTTGTTCAGCTGTATTAATTCCCCAAACACTTCGAGATTTCCTGACTGAAGTGCAGACTTCTGGGAAGGATGTTCAAAAAGTGTTTCCTCTTGTAAAGCATCTTTTGAAACGAAAAACAGCAATTCGCCAGACTGGAGAAGCCTAGAGGCGCTTCTGATGTTTAGCTAACAGAAGCGATGGCGGAACCCGAGTTTTCGCGTGCTCGGCTTTTAAGTCGTGCTGGATATTCGCAGCGACAGTCAGATCGATCGTCTGGATCTCAGCAGACCTCAGAGGATTCGAGAACTGTTACGCCCGCACCGTCTTACTGGAGCGACCGTCGCTATCGTTTACTCCGTACTTTGGCACCAAGCCCTTATCGTTCGTCTCCGTTCTATGCATCCGCGGTTTCTTTGCCGGATATCAAAGAAGCTGTGAACGAAGAGAACGAGAACAGCAGCAATAGTTCCGTTGAACATGACAAGAATGCTTTACGTCTTGGCCGAGTTTATCGAGCTTCCTCCCAACAGGTTCATACCAGAACGCTTTGGAAATTCGGAATAGCTTACCAATTTTAATCATTTTGTAGTCCAGACGCAAAGTTTCTCTAGTTTTTGAGCCCCAAGCTTTTCAGAGAAAGCCATCGACATATTTACTAATGAACAGAATTTGTTGTTTGTGGCACTTAATGCGCATAAACTAATTTGATCAAATGTTGTAAATCTTTCGCGCGTTTGTGAGTGGTACTCATGAGAATGAAAGCGATCACTCGGGAGAGCCCCGAATAAGTAAAACATATATCGAACTGGCGGCAGGCGCTTACTAGAGGTACATAGCTCTTAAGATGGACGGGTCTGGCATAACTACGCCTTGGTGCATGGAAGCATCCCAGTAACTTCAGTAATATGGGATGCCCGCATTGGAAGCTCGGGCAGTTTTGTGATTTGGTGTATTATTTACTATGTGTTTTGAAAGCGATTGCAAATAGATTATCCGCGAAATTGGCGCATCTGCCTTGCTTTGGAAAAGTAAAGTCTTCGATTGTTGGTTTCTTCTCAAAGTGCGCTCCGAAAACGCGATTTCTTTTTTGAAAAGCAACTAGTCCATTTTGTTTGACTATTTACTTATACCGAGCTGAATACATACCTCATCTCTCTTCTTTCCTTGCCTTCTTCTGTCCTCTTCTTTCCCTCCCCCGTTAACAATTTTTTCCAAAAAAATTTTTTACTTCAGTTCAGATTTAATTCGAAATTTTCATTGATTTCTGGCTTATTTTGTCTAATTCATGGTACGTTAGGATGCGCTGT